ATATTAATACTACCCTCATACCTTCAGAATCAGAGAGACTTAAATGTAAACTTCACCATCCTCTTTAAGAGGAGTTTTAGTTTCCTTACCTGTAAAATTGGAAATAATAATACAGCTCCACTCATGCCTTCTGAGCTTGGCCCTTGTTTCAACATCTTAACATGCACGTGTGTATTCTCCTGCCAGTTTGTCTGCAATGATAAGTATCCGAGATTACATCTAATAAACTGCACTTGTCTACGTGAAATCGTTTCCTTATCTATTATCCACCAATTTTCAAAATACAACTATCCATTTCATTTGGGGAATTTTTGCTGGATATTTGGAAGCATGTAGACACAATTTTAAACTGCAATTTTTTTTGAGAATAGAATATATCCTATTAAAGAATATGGCCCAGGGTGCCAGAAGGTGGTTGAGGTGCTGGACCCATGTGGCTGGTTGACCATGGTTTGAGTCCCAGACCTGGTGGCTTGCTTTCTCACTTTCCCTCTCTCTCTCTCTCTCTCTCTCTCTCTCTCTCTCTGGTCAAAATTAGAAATAATAACAACAATAATAATAATAATAAATAAAATAATTATTTTTTTTTAAAAAAAGGAACATGACCCGAATCATCCTATTTCTTGCAACTTGAAGGGCATAAGGTTGAGCACCAAACCTACTCACTGGTGTTGAACAGCTCCTGAAGTCAAGTTCCTATTGGAAGTGATGAGGGTAGACAAAGTGCGGCACCCCACAGTGGACTCCAGCCACCACACTGCCCGTCAGTACACTGGCAAGGCCAATGGCAAGCTTCAGTGTAAGCAAGGCACCTTGTAATCAAGGCGAGTTCTCAGAAATGTGACTTGTGACTGCTACCACCATGGTGGTGCAGCAGTAGAGCAACCCTCTGCAATGCAGGAAGCCAAGTGGGTGCACACCCAAGAACCCTGCTGGCTGAAAGGGGGCTGGAGGTCTCAGCATGACACTCTCTTTCTCTCTCAATAAGTGAACTTGGAAGGAGGAAAAGAAGATCAGGTCCTAGTCAAGATTCTTGTAGTTACATATAACAAAAACCGACTCAACTAGCTTAAGCAAAAGAAAAATTGGGGGAAGTATATGAGGTATCTACAGAACCCAGAGATTTTTCCAGGGTCTGGAAAGCCATCAAGAACCCAGGTAGATCTCTCTCTCTCTCTCTCCCTTTCTCCCCACATGACTTCTCTCTGGTGAAGATGACTGTCCAACAGTACTGAACTGTAGCCACTCACATAGACTGATAAGCACATCAGTCCCAAATTCCCTGGGAGAGATTCCAAAGGCTCCTGCTTGGATAGTGTGAAACTTAAAGTCTGACGCAGGCTGAAGCCTTAGCGGAAGTGACATTCTCGGTAAAAGCAATCACCGTGAGGATCATCACGGTAGATGTTTCAACTACAGAAACGATCGCAAACTCTGGAACAAACTAGCAACCAAAACAAATCAGCGCTGAGCCTCGGCACGAGGCGCACGGCGCCAGAGAGCTACCCAGGCATCATCTGTTTCGTGTATAGGTGAGTTCTTAGAACTAAGCCTGAAAAGCAGAGACCAAGTAACCCCAGTCAGACAGGAAAGGATGCAGAGTTTTGAAAGTCGAACTGGCAGGTCCACCTTTATTATTTGTAGGGCCCAAAGCAAGAATGCAAACAAAGGCTCACATACCAAAGTCAAAATATTTAAAGTAGCGGACACCAGGACTCCAAGATGGCGTCAGTCGTATCAGTGAAGGAAAAGAAACTCATGGATGTCAAACTCGGGGAGCTGCCAAGCTGGATACTGATGTGGGATTTTACCCCTAGAGGCATTGCTGGAGCATTTCAGAGAGGTTACTACCGGTATCACAACAAGTATGTCAACGTGAAGAAAGAGAGCGTTGTTGGGGTTTCTATGGTGCTGGCCACTTACGTGCTCTTCAGCTACTGCCTTTCTTATAAGGAACTCAGACACGAGCAGCGCCGTAAATACCGCTGAAGAGGGCCTGCACGGAGGTCATACACTGAACCAGACCTTCATCTCCTTGGCTTAGCACCCCTCCAAAGGAGCTTGTTGAATACTTTCATATCCTAGTTGAGAATTCACATCCAATAAAAAAATGACTGGTATGTGTAAATATATATATATATATGTATATATATATATATATATTTAAAGTTATAAATCAAGCTAACAAACTGGTACACAAAACTTTCTCCCCTCCAACCTCTTGATAAATGTGCCTCGTAACAACTTGGAAGTCCAGGTGCTGAGTTAGAATTCTGTCTCCTCAGAGTCCACGTTGGAACACAGTGCCCCAAGAGCCGCTCTCCTTTCTATCTACCCCTGGCATTTGAGAAGAGTTCCCCACCACATGAGGACACCCATTGCACATGTCCAAGCTATGCTACATCCCAGTCAAATAACCACCTTCTTGGGTCAGGCGACAGAAGGTACAGACTCTGGAAATGGGCTGTTTGGGGATACAATTTCAGAGTTCTGAGGACCTGCAACCTGCTCTAGAGAAAGGTTTTTCAGTCTCTAGACTATTGACATTTTGTGCTAGCTCAGTCTTTCTCGTTGGGGAGAAAGGAGGTTTTCCTCTGTGAATGCTTGACAGCACCCCTAGTCTCTCCCTACTAGATGCTTTAGCACCCCTCCAAAGTTGTAACAACCAGAACAGTCTCCTGACGTTGCCAAATGGTTCTTGGAGGGCAAAATCACTTCCAGTTGAAAACCACTGACCTATAAAAGCACCTATGGTGCTGTGAGGAGGGCAGAGCTAGAGGAGAGCTAGAATTTGGGGAAGGGGGGGTTTGAAGGGAGGCTGTCTAAAGCATGGAGACGAGAACAGGGACTACAGTACAACTGACTGTATGTTAGCTATTTTCACAGAACTATTTTCTCTGGGGCTGGCCTCATATCTGCTGGTTAAAGGAAGCGAAATCCCACTTGATCAACTGTGGTTTGAATCTTGACCCCAGCAGCTTGAAAAACACTCCAGGAGCATGTGTGTGCCCAAAATTCCTAAAAGAGGGAAAAATGGAGAGGAACGAGATTTTGGCGTGACCATCCCCCATGGGGAGTGCTTTCGTCCCCCCCCTCTCTTTCTTTCTCTCTGAGGCAAGCACATGTGCCCTCTGCAAAATAATTGAAATCATAATAATTACCTTCTCTGATGTTCCTAGTATCTTAGTAGGGTACTACTTACTCCTTATGGATGAGGAACGTATGGCTTGTAGAAGTTAAGTGTCTTACTGAATTTCACACTTACAGAAACTGACATACCAGTCATCTAACTCAGGTCTATTAAAAGTCAACCCAGGCTTGGATTTACTTACTATAAGCTAAACTTGGGTTTCAGACCTTGAAGTGACCCATCTCAGTGCTCTGTCAGATGTGGAGCAGATTTGCTGAACCCAGGAAATGATAACGCAATGGCAAAGACTATAATGGGAAAATATCCAAGAGATGAAAAGATTATCCTGACTTTAATACCAACACTAAATTTCTTTTAAAAATTACATCATATTCCCCAATCTCTAATTCATTGGTTAACATAACTTTAACTAAAATGAAGGTCTACTTTTTTGTTGCCAATAGAGATTTTGTATGTGGAAGAGCCTAAAGCAAGACACATAAAATTAAGGTGCATACCTATGTGAGTAGGGTCATCCAATCACATATATATAGTTCTTTAAGAACAAGAAGCACATCTTCCTTATTTTTTGGGTCCAGACAGCATAGGATACATAAAATGCCTTTAGAAGTTTTTATTGAATGAATGAATGAATGAATGAATGGCTTTGTAGTTCTCTAGATAATTCTAGCTCAAGAAATGCACTTTCCTTCACCCATGGAAAAATTTTGGGGTAATGGCCTTGACTTTTTATTAATCCTTAGCTGTCTAATAACAACCTAAGGGGCCAGTCAGTTGTCATGGTGGTTAAGGCAGCTAGATCCCACATGGCCAACCATGCAGTTCAAGTCTCAGATCCAGCAGCTCAAGACACATCAGGCACATGTGCATGTGTGCCCAAAACCCCAATGAAGGAGAATGGATTTGGGGTTGCTCAAATCACTTCCCTTCTCCCTTTTTCTACAGCTCTCAAGCAAGTACATGCATCCTTTAGCAAATTGTTTTAAACATCTAAGATAGAGCCATGGAATGTGTCACACTAAAGGGAAAAAGAAAGCGAAACATTTATGGGATGAGAAATGGAAAACTATCTGTTGATGATTATGTGTATGTTAGTCGCTTTAACTGAACTAATACGTACTGTATTCATACTGGGAAATTCATTTTGTATGCTGTAATAATACACCGCTATTGAATGCATTAAAAGATTATTTCTGAGGTGTTTATGAAGCGTTGGGGGCAAAGGAATAGAACTAGTCCAAGTGGAGCGAGCAAGCCGAGTGGTTGTGAGGTACCTTGTCGGAAACTGGTAGCACTTACAGCATGGCTGGCTGGCTGAAGGGCAGATTGCAGAATTCAGAGCAGCTATTTCACTATTTGACAAGAATGGTGATGAAACTATAACAACAAAGGGATTGGGGGCTATAATGGGGTCTCTTGGGAAGAATCCCACAGAAGCAGAGTTACAGGACATGATTAACGAAGTAGATGCTGATGGTAACGGCACAATTGACTTCCCTGAATTCCTGACAATGATGGCGAGAAAAATGAAAGGCATAGTGAAGAAGAAATCAGAGAAGCGTCCTGTGAGTTAGATAAGACCGGCAATGGCTCTATTAGTGCAGCAGAACTTCGTCATGTGATGACAGACCTTGCAGAGAAGTTAACAGATGAAGAAGTGGGTGAAATGATCGGGGAAGCAGATATGGATGGTGACGGTCAAGTAAACTAGGAAGAGTTTGTACAAATGATGACAGCAAAGTGAAGACCATTGTACTGAATGTGTTACATTTCTAGTACAGAATGGTTTATTTGCTTTTTTCTTGTTTGTAACTTATCTGTAAAAGGTTTCTCCCTCCGTCAAAAAGATATGCATGGGCCCCACTCCTTCGACCTCTGCCGCCAAAGCTGCCGCCGCCACCTCCAGAGAAGAGAGGAAGTAGGAGAGGAGCCCAGGATGCTTGTCATCCCAGTTCTCCAGCCGCGCTGCCCCTTCACCTGCGCCAAGCTCGCCTGCTCCCCTGCTCTGATCAGAGCTGGATCCAGAGTTGTGTACAAACCAGTTTCTGCATCAGTGTTATCTCGACCTGAGGCAAGGGCTGGAGAGGGCTCTACAGTATTTAATGGGGCCCAGAACGGTGCATCTCAGCTAATCCAGAGGGGATTTCAAACCAGTGCAATCAGCAGAGACATTGATACTGCTGCCAAATTTTTTGGTGCCGGTGCTGCAACAGTAGGAGTAGCTGGTTCTGTTGCTGGTATTGGAACAGTCTTTGGCAACCTTATCATTGGTTATGCCAGAAACCCTTTGCTGAAGCAGCAACTGTTCTCCTATGCTGTCCTGGGATTTGCCTTGTCTGAAGCTATGGGTCTCTTTTACTTAATGGTTGCTTTCTTGATTTTGTTTGCCATGTAACATAAATTTAACATAAATTACTGCTTGAAATATTGGCATTCATATTAATTAAGGATGTAATTCTGTGTATTTTACTATGGCCCCAAAAACTAGTGTTGGTGTCATGGAAATGTACGTTATTTCCAAAGTCATTTCATTAAAGTTAAAAACTTAAAAAAAAAAAAAAAAGATATGCATGTATAGTAATTAGGACTCATTCCTCCACATTTTCTTCCTTATCTTACTGTCATTGTCCTGAGACTTTACTTTATGATCAAGTAACATGTTGCATGTGGCTTACTCTGGATAGATCTAAGCCCTTCTGCACATCTAAACTTAGATGGAGTTGGTCAAATGAGGGAATATCTAGGTCATGCCTTTTTTTAAGTAGTTTTCTTTAGGAACTGTTAGCATGTTGGTTGTAGAAGTGCGAAGTTGTCACTGTGCGGACTATACACAGTCAACAATATGTACTTAAAAGTTGCACTATTGCAAAATGAGTGTATTATGTAGGTACTCATACACTATATTTTTGTACTGCTGGTTGTGTACCAGAAACATTTTCTTTTATTGTTACTTGCTTTGTAAACTTTGTTTAGCACTTAAATAAAATGTGCTTATGGGACCAGCAGTTAGCGTAATGGCTATGTCGCAGGACTCCCACATAGTTGACGACGGTTCGAGTCCCAGAGCCAGTGACTTAAACTCACACTGGGCGCGTGTGCGTGCGTG